CAAAATTAAATTAGATGTACCCTCCGTGCCCAGTTCGTCCAGCCTCTGGAGGAGTAGGCGTCCAACGGCACAGTACGTACCCTGCCATTGCGAACGACAACGCCAATATGGGCGCTAGGCCGGAGACTCTGACACTACAAAACGCAACCAGTGGTTCCTTCCCGATAACGCGCTAGTGTACATGTTACTAAATCCTCTTGTACTGGCAAAAACACCATCATGATCAATGAATAGAAAATGCAACTAAAACCCCAAAAAACAATGAAAAGAACTCAAAGCAAATGAAAATAGTTAACTATCGCAATAGGGAGGACGAGCTGAGATGACATTGGGTTACATTTTAAACAATGTCAAACGATAGAATTGTTGTTGATGGAATTGTTCGAATCATCTATTTTTCCATCGCTTTTTCTTCTTACATGTACTTCTCCTTACCTTTTAGATTGTTTTCACATCGTCTCCATCTTTTTACATTGTTTTCACATCGTCTCCATTTTTTTAGATTGCTTTCCCATCGTCTCCATCGCTTGACATTGTTTAACCCTAAAGTAGTCGAATGTCACTTCAGCTTGTCCTCTTTATTTCGATGTTAAAATTGCTGCCTCCTCGCCGATTATTTAAGAGAATTAAAGCTAAGGAAAAGAACCCAACCAGCCGGACACGGTGCACACAAAAGGCAACGGCATTCAACACTGAGATGAGACGAACCTGTCAAAGGTAAATGGGTTGGACCTCGATAACATGCTACACTCGGCCGGGTTTGCTGCAGAGTCATTCATGCATCCTAGAGTTATGTACTCTCGCTGCAGCGTATAACGTTATACTGCTTCTTTTTTGAAGTACCTGTCTCGCACGCAGTACATGACTCGTGTCTGTGTACAGGAAACGATTCTCCCTACAACTGGACATTCTCATAAACATCGCCTGTAATGACTATGCCTGTACGCGGGTAATAACTTCGCGCCCTACTGTATCACCTTGTACTCTTTCGCGCTTAAATTCTTCGCGCTCAACTGATATTATTTCCTCGGGCTGTAGCTTACGGCTCCTCGCTTTTTCGCGCTGACGTCCTTGCGCTGAACTTGACCGCGCTGTACGTTATTGCCCTGCACAAGGAGACATTGTAAAATCAGGCGGTGAAGTGCTGGTACTGATATGTAACGAACGGTTCCGCTGAAGTGACAAGTCAACGAACATTTCACGTGTACCGTTACGCGCTCCAAGTTATCGCCCAGTGTTCACGCACTTCGCTCCAGCCAGCACGGGAAGTGTCTGCTCAGAGGAAAGTGGATTTGAATGAAAAAATTCCAAAGTCGCATTGAGCTCCACCCGCTGGAATATTGCAAGCGAATGTACGGCCGCAATCAAAGGAGTTGTTACTGAACACAGTTTTCCACTGCAGTTTTCAGGGTACTCCGGCAGACCCACCCATCACTTGACCTGAACGACTGCGTCGCGCGCTAATCAAAAGGTATTGTTAGCTGTCTTCCTGTTTATGATTATCATAACAACAACTAGAGAGCTTGGAAGCTCAGGGCTCTACGCTATAATTTTTTGCATAGCTCATCATGCATTTTATTACAACTGATGGAATCTTTTTTTCCATTGATTGGCTACAACAAACGTTCTCTTTGAATTCGAGGGTAATACGACACCGAATACCACCTTAATGACCTAGAAAAAGAAGCAAAGGGATGTTATTAATAATTGTGAAAAGAAGACGGACAAAATGTTACGAGTTATGACTAACAGTCCACTAACGTAATCAGATCTTAGAGAGTCAGAATACATACTACGTTCCAGCTGATGTTTGTCCCTGCCACTAATATAGAGCTTGATGTCATCTGCAAACTGAACTGTCCGCACACAGTGTGGGTTCGAATGATCAATCCGCCGCACTTGCAGTGGCAGAAGCGCATATTGAATAGATATTTTGCACAATGCTCAGTTGTGCAATTGTCCTTGCTTTTTCTCACCATGCGGTACTTCCAGTCCATTTGAAAACTCCAAAAAATTGTGAACGTTTGGTGTACGGTACATCACAGAACATCGCTTGCGCCAGACGATACAATCATCAGTCATGTATACAGTATGCAAAGTCTTTTGCATACGTAAAATGTAGCCACGGGTATCAAACCTAATCATGTACAAAATGCACCTGTACATGACGTCGTGAGTACACTTTCTCATTCAATACTCGCGTTTGTGGTACTTGGACGCTTTCGTGAGAGCACAGAAATGGGCGTGACAAGGTTCACAGCGCATCATGGGCGGTGTCTTGTTTCAGAGAATGGCACCAGTGAACTGGATCGTACCTCGACCAGAAGGACCGGGCCAGAAGGGTACCTGCAATAGGTTTTGGTCAGCTCCACGGGTGCGATCACTCTGTGTTCTGGTATAGTTATTCCTAAACATAGCCTGTCCCTGTATACATTCACGCGATTACTCCTCTCGCTATCGTATTATCACACCTCTATCGACTTAGATATACCAGCGCTGCCTCCTAGTCCATTATCGTTGTCTGATGATTGGTTCAGCCATGAAACTCTGAGTCACAACGGAATTAATTTGCCAAGGTTTTCATTTTGTGCCTTTGTATAAACAGGACACTTGAACGGCCATAAATGCAGCGGCGAACGAATGTTAGGATTTTCGCTGCCAGGGCGTCCTCGAGGGTAGGAAGACAGAGTCTCTCGAAGAGCCCTGCAGTGGAAGTCCACGGCGGAAAGCTAAAGAAGGCACGGATTGTAGCTTTAGTCATTCGAGTGAGGGCGTCCATGCTGTGTGAAAAGTCTATGCAAAACAGTGCTATACCGGTAGTAGTGGCACTGTAGTTCGCTCTGTGAACAGCTGGGTGACACCATGAGCAGAAATTGGCTTCCTTTTAGTGACACTTTACCTTGACAGCAGCTGTAGCGGCCGTGGCAGGGCAAGGTGAAGCACTGCGAACAGGATTCCATGCATTCAGTGACCTCAAGTTCAGCGCCAAGCAGGTGAGCGCGGCCGTGTCAGCGCTGTGAACGTAAGCGCCAAATCGTCTAGCGCCAAACATTTCAGCGCCAGCAGCTAAGCACCGAATAACTCAAACTAGTCCGAACCAAAATTCACATATACTGTATGTCCGCGCCAAATACGTCAGCCACATATGCGCTGCACAGTAGTACTAGCTGCTGCTTGCCCTTGCTTTCTTTTTATTTTTGCCGACCCTTACAGCTCTATCTTTTGTTTTTGGTGCGTGTTTCTGGCCGTGATGCCGAGACCTCAGGTCGGCAGAGCCATCAATGCCCCACCATCACTGCTGCACCTCGGTGCAGCCCCTTCTCAGTAGTTGTCACGTTTGTCCTTGTCTCAGTACCATTGTCTTCTGTATTATTTATGAGTTGGGTATGTGAACGTAGTAAAAAATAAAAAATAAAAAAATCTCAGCGCTATGTATATGAGAGTCAATTAATTCTTTTTTTTATTATACCGAACTTGTAATTGTATAATTGTCATGTACACCGGAGGATGTACCCAGTGTGCTGACAGTGCTCAAAACCACCGATACAGAGCGTAATACAAAACAACAAGGACAATCAAGGCTTGTTTGCTGCTACTTCAAGTTTCTTGATATAGAAGCAAACTTCATTTTGCTGGTTGTTTTGTAATGTCATCAGGTACATGTAATCTCCTGCCAAGTTAATAGTTTGTACAGACACTGCAGGAGTAGGTGAGGCACGTCATAATAAGCACCCTGCCATTCCGAAATACAATGCAGACATGGGCAATAAACTGGAGGCTCTGACGCAGCCAAACACGGAACCAGTGGTTCCGCCTGGATAACATGGTACACTGGTCGAGTTTGCTGCAAAGTCATCTCAGTGGCGATCAGGCGAGTAGGACAACTGGTTTGTGTGTTTGTTTGTATACTTTATTTGAATTCGTTAATCCAAACGAGCACAAATACTCAATGACAAGGCAGCGAATATAATATTATTATTATGATACAGGGAAGGAGGGTTGGGGAGACGATCAGGAGAACAAAGAGAGATTGACAGATATCTCAATGAAGAGCGAAGCGTTATCAAAACTACAAGTAAGCCAGCGAACAACAGTTCTGTAACCCACTTAATAAACTAAGTACTTTTTTTCGGCGTGCAATGGACTGTCATTAAAGCAGAAACAGAAAAATGATATTAAGGGTTGAACCGTTCATGGACGGAATTTCAATGTGGCTCCTAGAATCCCCGTCTAGTAATACTAAGTGTTTCGCCAGCTGTACATGATTCTTGCCTGTGTACACGGAAAGGTCTCCTTGCAACTTTCCTGGCACACTGTACATGAACATGGCCGGTAATGAATGTGACTGTGCAACTGTATACATGCATATTGTTGCAATGACAGCATGAAACAAGGACACTGTGTTCGGAAACAGTGACCTTGCTACAACCTTCCGCGGTGTCCACCTTGTTTCAAGCTGTCAATCTACCAATATGCGTGAACCATAACAAGGTTGATCTAAGACTAGTTCTGAACTAGTATTGGGTTTTACATGTCCTACGTATACAGTCATGTACTACATATTGGCTTCGCGCTGTACTTTATCGCGCTTACATTCTTCGCGCAGAACTTCCTCGAGCTGTAAACTACGGCGCTTTTTTCTTCGCGCTGATTCCTTGCGCAAATTCTGATCGCCCCTTACCGTATTTATGCGGAAGAAACTGAAGCGACAAGTCGCCAAACAGTTTACATGTATACGCTCAACGGGATTTTCATTTGTTTACGCACGTTGCTCCTGCTAGCATGGCAAGTGTCTGCTCAGAGCTAGAGGCGAGTGAAATTGAATGAAATTAGATATATTTCCAACGTCACACTGAGCACAACCCGCTGGAACATCGCAAGCGAACGGTCGACGGACGCTAAAGGAGTGGTTGCGGAGGAGAGATTTCCAGTGCTGTTATTTCAGCGTACTCTGCCAAACCTACTCGTCACTTGCGCTGAGCTACTGCATCGTGCGCTAATCCAAAAGGTATTGTTAGCGGGTTTCCCATGTATGATAATAACAATGATTCGAAGAGGATCGCATAAGAGAAAGAATGAGTAATTGAAGCGTGCTGGTGTGCTACTGACCGGACTGCCATGTGCCATAAGCAATACTACTAGCAGTTGCTTATGTACACTCTTCCGCATCCTTTACAGTCAATGAATGAAGAAAACCAAGCCCGTCTGCAGATATGCGCACGTTCTAGTAATAAAACTTAAGAGAGTACATGTATTTGAGAGTGGGGAAAGCACGTTGAAGACAGACCCTGATTTGCACATCAGTGACCGTCTTGGAAAAGCTCAAGTCCAGAACCATGCACGTAATCGCCGCAGGTCTCTAACACCGACGCACACAGCACACGTGGAAGTGAATACGGTCCAGCGGATAATGCTGGCATTATTTTCGGCGTTATGAGACTATCCATGGGAGTAGCAGTCTGCAAGCAGAGCATCATGGAGCACTAGCTTGAAGAAAAAAAAGAGAGCAGTGTGTGAAGTTTGAGTGGCACTATGAGTTGCACAGTGCACTAGTGGAGAATATCGGGAAATCTCTGTTGCGCAAGGAGGGGGCTAATCTTCTCGCAGAAAAGGGGGAAAAGGGGAGAAAAAGGGGGAAAAAGAGGGGGAAAAGAAGAGCGGGAAATTGAAAAAGAGGGGGTAAAGAATGGCGGGAAAAGGAAAAAGAGGGGGAAAAGGATGGCGGGAAGCATCCACCGTTTGAATGTGCATACATCTAAAGTGAGGCTTTTTCCAGGCTCTGCACAAGTACACGTCCACCACGGCCTCTCGCAGCCTCCTCCTCTTCCTCTCCCCCCCCCCCCCATCACACACAATGTGCCGATTATCCTAATATCAACTATCCAAATGATTAATTATCCAAAATAATTGCTTCCATTTAATTGAGGGGTAGAAGATGAGTTTCAAGTTGTTGATTTTCGTCGCTCAGGGCACCATTGAAGCGATTCACAAGATGTATTACAACAGGTTTGAGTCAAAATGTGTAATAATAGTGTCATTAATTTAGAGGAGCTTGAGTGCACCTAGTTCCTATTGCACTGCTGAAGAGAATGAAAATGATGAAAACATGCTGGAATATGCATGATTTAGATTGATGTGTGACTACTCTCTTATCCGAACATTCTTCTCATCTGAACCCTCTGGAGACAGCCTGCGCCCCGAGGGGTGGGGATAATCGGCACTCTCCTGTACATCTAATTCTATTCTTAAATTATATACATATTGTAGAGCTCTTTCTGCTGCCGGGAATGAGAAAACACATCCCAGGTAAGGATACGCCCCTCAAGGAAACACAGCTGGTGGATTCCAACAGTCAGGGGCGTCGCACACGGTACGGTCACTACGGTATTGACCGTACCACTTTTTGCCCCAGATACCCGTGAATCAACAAAATACACTGATCTGGGATTTAAAATTCCAAAATTTTCGGCTCAGCCACCACTCCCCCACGAGTCAATTGTACTTCAGATGGCTGACCGTACCACACTAAAATACCTTCCGACGCCCCTGACAGTGGTATGAAACTCATACACAATCAATTAGAAAATAAACCTTTGTTGGTGAAACAAAGTTGGGCGAGAGTATGATGTTCAAGTAAAACAATACTAAAGTGCCGTAACGTGAAGAAAGGAACGTAGCGCACAAGTCAATGAAGATAAATTCACATACAGAACACAATATGCCCAGATGTGGAAATTTAAGTCAAGATGAGCAGAATATACGCACATGCAAACACATACACACACAAGCGTGTGCACACAAACGCAAACACACACACACACACACACACACATACGCGCGCACACACACACACATACACACACACACACACACACACACACACTGTTGGCTGCTATAATGCGATGGCCTAGACAGAGGAAACAAAGTTTACACAAACAAATTCCTACTCTTTCTCTTTCTTTGTCTTCTTCTTCTTCTTCTTCCTCATATTCGATTCAAGGCAGGCTCTTCTATTTTTTTGCTTCGGCCAACCTCGTTTTGGGATCTGACCCACTTTATTGGGGCAGTACAGGTACCCTGAACCTGAGAGTGTCCTTCTGATGTCATCGCTCTCCTACATTTTCTGCACGTCTATATTATTCTTTCTACGAGGACAGCAGAAGGACAGAAACAAAGACATCCACACCATTTTTAAGACTGCATCTTCCAAAGAACACATCAAAAAGCAAATTCTACACGCCAAGCATCAGTTCACGCTGTAACAAATCTCCACGCTATGAAAAATTCGATCGAATGCCTGGTGGGAGATGCTTTTAAAAGGCTTGCATACATTTTCACAAAAGACATTGTTGTGGCTGCCACCGGATTCGTACAAAAATATGTCAACTTCTAATCAAGGACTGTAATAAGTTCTGCCTTAAATATTAAAGGGGAAGTCTGCTGAATTTTTTTAATTTCAGGACCCGTAGATTCGGGGCGCTGAGTTGAATGTTCTTTTCCAAGGAGGCTGCGGTCCATGGTTCGTCAGATACGCCAAATCGAACATGAGCGAACGTGAGCACGCAGTCTACCTGATCCAGGTGATAAGGTCACAGTGTGCAGCCAGGTAGCCACACCATCTATTTGTGTGCAAAATGGCCAATATTCGAAACGCGTTCGATTTGAGAACCATCTGTTGCAGCTTCTCCGGACCAAGAGCATTCGACTCACTGTTACAAGCCCTACGTACCCTGTGATTTTCAGCTCGGCAAAATTTGAGGATATCCCGTTTAAGCCGTTTCCGATTTAGACTTTTTACATCCGCTGGCTTCTGCGTGCATGCCATAGTCAACAAACATACGGAACACTACACTACAGTACTGCCGGGCGCCGAAGAACGGGGTCAGGGTTCTAGCCTAGCCCGTTCTCATTTTTAGCGAACACAGCAGTTTCGTTCTTATTCGATGGTACAGTCTTACATGCACATTTATGCGTCTGAGTGTACATCATATTCATATTGTACATTACGTTTCTACCTAGACCGTTCTTAAAAAATGGCGAAATTATAGCCTGGCCGTTCATCGGCGGTCCGTTCTTCGGCGCCCGGCAGTACTGTAGTAGTAGTAGTAGTAGTAGTAGTAGTAGTAGTAGTAGTAGTAGTAGTAGTAGTAGTAGTAGTAGTAGTAGTAGTAGTAGTAGTAGTAGTAGTAGTAGTAGTAGTAGTAGTAGTAGTAGTAGTAGTAGTAGTAGTAGTAGTAGTAGTAGTAGTAGTAGTAGTAGTAGTAGTAGTAGTAGTAGTAGTAGTAGTAGTAGTAGTAGTAGTAGTAGTAGTAGTAGTAGTAGTAGTAGTAGTAGTAGTAGTAGTAGTAGTAGTAGTAGTAGTAGTAGTAGTAGTAGTAGTAGTAGTAGTAGTAGTAGTAGTAGTAGTAGTAGTAGTAGTAGTAGTAGTAGTAGTAGTAGTAGTAGTAGTAGTAGTAGTAGTAGTAGTAGTAGTAGTAGTAGTAGTAGTAGTAGTAGTAGTAGTAGTAGTAGTAGTAGTAGTAGTAGTAGTAGTAGTAGTAGTAGTAGTAGTAGTAGTAGTAGTAGTAGTAGTAGTAGTAGTAGTAGTAGTAGTAGTAGTAGTAGTAGTAGTAGTAGTAGTAGTAGTAGTAGTAGTAGTAGTAGTAGTAGTAGTAGTAGTAGTAGTAGTAGTAGTAGTAGTAGTAGTAGTAGTAGTAGTAGTAGTAGTAGTAGTAGTAGTAGTAGTAGTAGTAGTAGTAGTAGTAGTAGTAGTAGTAGTAGTAGTAGTAGTAGTAGTAGTAGTAGTAGTAGTAGTAGTAGTAGTAGTAGTAGTAGTAGTAGTAGTAGTAGTAGTAGTAGTAGTAGTAGTAGTAGTAGTAGTAGTAGTAGTAGTAGTAGTAGTAGTAGTAGTAGTAGTAGTAGTAGTAGTAGTAGTAGTAGTAGTAGTAGTAGTAGTAGTAGTAGTAGTAGTAGTAGTAGTAGTAGTAGTAGTAGTAGTAGTAGTAGTAGTAGTAGTAGTAGTAGTAGTAGTAGTAGTAGTAGTAGTAGTAGTAGTAGTAGTAGTAGTAGTAGTAGTAGTAGTAGTAGTAGTAGTAGTAGTAGTAGTAGTAGTAGTAGTAGTAGTAGTAGTAGTAGTAGTAGTAGTAGTAGTAGTAGTAGTAGTAGTAGTAGTAGTAGTAGTAGTAGTAGTAGTAGTAGTAGTAGTAGTAGTAGTAGTAGTAGTAGTAGTAGTAGTAGTAGTAGTAGTAGTAGTAGTAGTAGTAGTAGTAGTAGTAGTAGTAGTAGTAGTAGTAGTAGTAGTAGTAGTAGTAGTAGTAGTAGTAGTAGTAGTAGTAGTAGTAGTAGTAGTAGTAGTAGTAGTAGTAGTAGTAGTAGTAGTAGTAGTAGTAGTAGTAGTAGTAGTAGTAGTAGTAGTAGTAGTAGTAGTAGTAGTAGTAGTAGTAGTAGTAGTAGTAGTAGTAGTAGTAGTAGTAGTAGTAGTAGTAGTAGTAGTAGTAGTAGTAGTAGTAGTAGTAGTAGTAGTAGTAGTAGTAGTAGTAGTAGTAGTAGTAGTAGTAGTAGTAGTAGTAGTAGTAGTAGTAGTAGTAGTAGTAGTAGTAGTAGTAGTAGTAGTAGTAGTAGTAGTAGTAGTAGTAGTAGTAGTAGTAGTAGTAGTACATGACTACACCCGCACTGCTGTGCTAGCGCTACGCGAGTCGTGTGGTAGATCTAAATGTACAAGAGACTAGTCAATACACGGACGTGTCATGTACTGCACCCGGTATGTAGTTAGAGAAGGTGTGCTCCTCCGGGCCGGTGATTGTGCTTTGAGAAAGAAATATTTTAGTTTTCCGCTTGGAATAGTCCAGCCTCATTTATGCTACAATGATGAGTCCACAACCGTGACAAGCGACAAAACCGCGAACAGCTCCCGGACCTAAAACGTTCAGATCCCGAAGTGTTGTGAGCCTTGAATCGAAGAGTCGTGTCCGTGGTTCCAAGAACCTGCATTGCATATCCAATCGAGCAGCGTCTGAGCTATGTTTGCACCAAAAATCGTGAAATTTTCCACTGTATCATGGAAATGCCACACCCTGCAGTCCCGCTGTTACCATATTTTACCGGTATAAGTCGACTTATTGAATTGGATTCAGTGCAAACAGGAATTTCGGATAATTGACCGTTTGGACAGTTGACATTCGGATAATCGGCATTCTACTGTAATCCTAGTGCATGCAATGAAACATACTTGACTGTTGGGAGTCTTGCTGCGTCAGTGCAAATTGGCAGTTAATGCTAGAAGCTGCAGTGAACAACATCACAAATAGAAAATATAGAAAAGCAAATACAACTGAACTTTGATACAGTTGAACATCGATTATCCGCACATCGACTATCCGACCATTCGATTATCCGTAACAGTTTTTTTGGGCGCACGTGCCGTAGAGTACGCACTGTGCATGTAGTGAGCCATTCAAAAAATACGAAAATTTTGAAAAGTAGCACTCTATTCTATTTACAATGTACATGTACATGTATTTACAGTGTGTTTTCTTATCCGGAACATTTGCCTTATCTGAACACCGCCTGACAGTTGTCTGCCCAGAGGTGGTCGGATAATCGATGTTCAACTGTACTGGAAATTACAGATCTGCTGCCCGCATCCACATGTCCATATTCTACATGTGCGATTGATCCTGCAAGATCTTCACTGCCCGTCTAATTGAGGATGGCACCCCGAATAGAACAGGCCGCTTCTAAACCAATCCAAGACCCAGGTTGTTATACTCCAGCAACCGGGCAAAGACCTGTCACCCATCCATGACCCATCAGCCCATCTCCTTATGCTCACATTTTGGTGTAGTAGTTGAGCACCTGTCCTTCCTTCATCAAGTGGATATCCTAAGCATGTGACTTACCGCTGGTATATCTCTGCACATCCATCTTGACTGGTTGTCAAGTCCCTTTCCGGAGAGGTAGAGTGGATGGTAGGGTCAGTGCAGTCCTGGCCACGCCATGAGAAAGAAGACATTTTCCCATCAGGAGAAGGCCAACATCCTCCCTCTGGGTAGTGCCTTGATACCTGCAGTGCAGTGCAGTAACATTAAACTGCAATTGAAACTGTCTCCATGCCATTGTTAAGCCCAGTTCACATTCGACGGGGCGCAACGGGACGCGACATAAGGATCGACGGGAAACGCCGGGACGGTCACCCCGTCACGGACTGTGCCTTATGACTCGCACCATTCGCTGTTGAACATCGCAAAGACTGGAGCATGTCGTGTCGTACGAATTGTACAAGATTTTACAGCTCACCCCAGCCGTCACAGGCCCTTACGTCCCGTACCGTCAGCGTTGCGTCGAAAGAGAACTAGGCTTTAGAAAGATTACGTGTTGGTATGTGCTCCTAATTACACACAAATATACAAAAGGTATATAAAGAGAAAGCATGATCCACCCCATCATTGACACCAACAGCCCGGCACAAGAGCAGCAGCACCTGCATTCTATTAACCCAAAGTTCATCTGCGAATATACTCACAGAGTCGTCTCCTTTACTGTGCCCGACCTTAGAAGAAAACAACACAGCAACGTAGTGTTGGTTTCGGTGAGGGCTTCTACGTTCACATGAACACACAGAAAAGCACAATATATTTCCAAACAGACGCCAACTAGTATAACCAAACAGCAACGACAACACCACAAAGACCTAACAGTCTCTTGAGCACAAAGTGTCTGGGATAAAAAAAGAGCAGAAGTTCACCATCGACACTGGTATTATAAAACTTTCTACAACTGCTGCAGAGGCAGCAGCAGGGTTCTAGTGCCCGGACCCAAAGCTCATCTGAGAATTTTCGCCATTGATACAAAGCAACGACCATGGTAGCAGCAGAGAGTAACAGCAGCAGCCGTTTGAGCAGCAGTATCAGCAGTCTCCAGCTTCAAGGGATTGACCTAGCAAATTTTACAGTAACATGAAAAGTGCAACTGCACTCTTTCCGGCACCAAATATGCCATGCTGTCCCCCGCTGCAAAATAGAGGACAACTCTCAACTGTCGCCAACACCTTGGCCCAGAGGGAGTCTTTCCTTCGACATTCGCCCCGGCCAAAGAAGGTCAAAACCCAAGTGGTGTAATCATGTATCTGCTTCTCCTATCGAGACACTGGCAAGGCTTGTATAGGCATGATAAATTGATAATACTGTATGCATATAACAAAGGCAAACGCACATACGCACAAACTCACGTCCATGCACATGTGCACAGACGGTGTCGTTGGCGTACACACACACACACACACACACACACGCGCGCGCGCCCAAGCCCACGCATGCACAGGACAAAGGCATGTGCAAAGGAGCATGCTCATAAAAGCACAGGACAGGCACACGACTGATCTACGGATGTATCACGACATTGAAGGGACGGAGCTTGCAGCAAGCCTTCACCCTCTGGAGATTCCTGAAATACATAAATACATGTCAGCAGTAAATAGTTGCAGCATAAACATTTCCACGGGGACTGTGCAGCTTCACTAACCTTAACTTCAGTCTCCCCAGAATGCAGCAATCAGACAACGGCTACGAAGAGGTGCAGGAAATTTGAACAACTGTTTCAAAAGCAGTCCTCCAAGCCTTCTGCACCAACAGGTGATTCAGTTCGTGCTCTTATACCATCCTGGCAGGTAGAGACATTTTCTAATAACACGAAGAGCACAATCATCAAGGTGGGCAAATCCTCAAGAGAGAGTGCACCCTAACTTACACTACAAATCATTTACTGGACACTACTGGACAGAGTGTCCAGTCCATTCAGTCCAGGGGAGAAGAGGCAAAGGCATAGGGCTCCTGAGAAGATGAAAGGGCAACACATTATCATTACTACATTAATTTTATTATTGGGGGCAGACGTCTTCTCTGTAAAATATGAGGACGAAAGGCACATCAGTACTCACATCCCTGCTCATATCACTGCTCATCCCTGTCCTCTACGAGGGCAATGCATTTAGGGCTGAAACAAGTATACAGATAACTCGCAAACCGATCGTTTTAAGAGCGCAATCGATAATCGTTAGGGTTCAAAGCGAATGCAAACGATTTTTTATGCATGCATACCAGTGGCAGTATTCTAGCCCTTGCCCTCCATCCAATTGTGGATACGAGTGCAATTGGTACTTTCAAGCGCAGTAATATTGATGCGTGGCTATGAAAGAGATCGGGAGTCAAGACGGTATCTTTTCGATTGATTCGTTGCGGAAGTTGGTGATAAGAGCTTCAAGCCAAAGGGTGACGACAAGCCTGATTCTTCGTTCTAGAAACAACAACATGAACTCCTCTAGTTCATATTGATAAAGCCTAGTTCAAATTCGACGGGACGCGGCGTAAGGATCGATGGGAAGCGACAGGACGGTCTGACGGCGTCCAATGTGAACACCAGGAACGGGAACGCAACCATACTACCGTACGGATCGGGAAGTGTTGGATCAGTTCAACTTTTCATACCGTAGACGGGCATAGACGGAGACGCAAGCGTACAAAACGGCTGCATTTTGAGTGAGAACAGGAGGCGGCGTCGTGCGCCATCCACTCCCGATTCGTACTGGGAAATTTTTAGGATTTCGAACACTGCGCTTCCCATGATAACTCGCAGAATGGCTAACACGACTTAAGTTGAATTTTAGCAAGATAAGATCTCATGTCACTTATGGTATTTAGGGATAGTTTAGGAGAATGACAGATGAACTGTTTTATCATTTCCTAGGGCTACTATTCGAATGGCACAACTTTCAGGGCTACTTTTTTGTCTCCATGAAAAACTGGTATTGTGAATTTGATTTCGCTTCATTCAAGGAGAAATAATTGAAAAGAAGTCCCGAAAAACAAGAAATTAGGTCCGAAAGTCACCCCGTCACGGACTGTGCCTTATGACTCGCGCCGTTCGCTGGAGAACATCGCAACGACTTCAGCATGTCGTGTCGTACGAATCGTAAAAGGTTTTACAGCTCACCCCAGCCGTCCCGACAGGCCCTTACGTCCTGTACCGTCAGTGTTACGTCGAATGTGAACTAGGCTTTAGACCAGTCAGATGTCTACAGGTGTCGACACAATTGCCTGAAATGTTTACAGAATACCAAACACTGAGCGGTAGCCTGGGTATATTTAGAGTGTTTGACTGGTGGCCACAGCTAATGTAGCAAAGGCATCATGGAATTTCTTCATAGTCTTGTGTTCGAGGTGCACGACTACAGCCGGAAAGAATCTATAATTATGAACCAACAATTATAATTGACCTCAATGTCTCAGTACTCATACTCCTTGTCAGTTTTGTGCTAGATTGTGCACGTCTGACTATTCGAAATCTGGTTTAGTTGGTCGACTCGATTGCATAACTTGTGCCCACATTTTTCTATGTTACAATGATATTCATCGCTAAAGAGATTGGTTGATCGCTTGGAGTTATTGAATGATCGTTTCAGCCCTAATTTATTTTCACCCTGGCCACAGCACTAGGCGAAATTCTCTGACACGGCCTTTACCTGCATCCACTGCTCTTTCGCATCACGACGAAGGACATGCAGGGGTTCTCTCTGAGCAGAGGAAAGTAGCCATCGCCACCACCACCATCACCATTCACCGACAATACTAGAGAGACTATTTTCCCCGTCGTGGGTACTTCCAATAAAGTAATTCCACTTACATAGGTACCGTCAGCGGCGCCACCATGTTCCCAACAGTGTATTCCTATCGTGGGTACTTCCACGGGCAATAAATTCGGCTCGTGCTGTCACTCGCAAGCCATCAAATTCCTATCTCCCTTGCGCGAATTGCCTCTGCAAACAAAATTATTTCAATGATTGGATTAATTCAGTTCTTTTCGCTCGTGCACGTCACGCCGGGTGCACTGCGCGCGCGGCCCATCTCCGCCCGTACATTGTTTCATCTTGTTTCATCTTGTTTCATTCGCGGCCCATCTACGCCCGTACTTCGAGTTTCATTTGGTTTCATCTTGTTTCATCTTGTTTCATTTTGTTTCATTTTGTTTCATTTCGTTTCATCTCGGCCCCATCTGCGCCCGTACATTGGCGTTTCATCTTGTTTCATCTCGTTTCATCTCGTTTCATCTCGTTTCATCTTGTTTCATCTGTTTCATCTGGGGGGAAGACGGGCCCGTCAACCTTGTTTAAGGAGGGGGCTAATCTTCTCGCAGAAAAGGGGGAAAAGGGGAGAAAAAGGGGGAAAAAGAGGGGGAAAAGAAGAGCGGGAAATTGAAAAAGAGGGGGTAAAGAATGGCGGGAAAAGGAAAAAGAGGGGGAAAAGGATGGCGGGAAGCATCCACCGTTTGAATGTGCATACATCTAAAGTGAGGCTTTTTCCAGGCTCTGCACAAGTACACGTCCACCACGGCCTCTCGCAGCCTCCTCCTCTTCCTCTCCCCCCCCCCCCCCCCATCACACACAATGTGCCGATTATCCTAATATCAACTATCCAAATGATTAATTATCCAAAATAATTGCTTCCATTTAATTGAGGGGTAGAAGATGAGTTTCAAGTTGTTGATTTTCGTCGCTCAGGGCACCATTGAAGCGATTCACAAGATGTATTACAACAGGTTTGAGTCAAAATGTGTAATAATAGTGTCATTAATTTAGAGGAGCTTGAGTGCACCTAGTTCCTATTGCACTGCTGAAGAGAATGAAAATGATGAAAACATGCTGGAATATGCATGATTTAGATTGATGTGTGACTACTCTCTTATCCGAACATTCTTCTCATCTGAACCCTCTGGAGACAGCCTGCGCCCCGAGGGGTGGGGATAATCGGCACTCTCCTGTACATCTAATTCTATTCTTAAATTATATACATATTGTAGAGCTCTTTCTGCTGCCGGGAATGAGAAAACACATCCCAGGTAAGGATACGCCCCTCAAGGAAACACAGCTGGTGGATTCCAACAGTCAGGGGCGTCGCACACGGTACGGTCACTACGGTATTGACCGTACCACTTTTTGCCCCAGATACCCGTGAATCAACAAAATACACTGATCTGGGATTTAAAATTCCAAAATTTTCGGCTCAGCCACCACTCCCCCACGAGTCAATTGTACTTCAGATGGCTGACCGTACCACACTAAAATACCTTCCGACGCCCCTGACAGTGGTATGAAACTCATACACAATCAATTAGAAAATAAACCTTTGTTGGTGAAACAAAGTTGGGCGAGAGTATGATGTTCAAGTAAAACAATACTAAAGTGCCGTAACGTGAAGAAAGGAACGTAGCGCACAAGTCAATGAAGATAAATTCACATACAGAACACAATATGCCCAGATGTGGAAATTTAAGTCAAGATGAGCAGAATATACGCACATGCAAACACATACACACACAAGCGTGTGCACACAAACGCAAACACACACACACACACACACACACATACGCGCGCACACACACACACATACACACACACACACACACACACACACACTGTTGGCTGCTATAATGCGATGGCCTAGACAGAGGAAACAAAGTTTACACAAACAAATTCCTACTCTTTCTCTTTCTTTGTCTTCTTCTTCTTCTTCTTCCTCATATTCGATTCAAGGCAGGCTCTTCTATTTTTTTGCTTCGGCCAACCTCGTTTTGGGATCTGACCCACTTTATTGGGGCAGTACAGGTACCCTGAACCTGAGAGTGTCCTTCTGATGTCATCGCTCTCCTACATTTTCTGCACGTCTATATTATTCTTTCTACGAGGACAGCAGAAGGACAGAAACAAAGACATCCACACCATTTTTAAGACTGCATCTTCCAAAGAACACATCAAAAAGCAAATTCTACACGCCAAGCATCAGTTCACGCTGTAACAAATCTCCACGCTATGAAAAATTCGATCGAATGCCTGGTGGGAGATGCTTTTAAAAGGCTTGCATACATTTTCACAAAAGACATTGTTGTGGCTGCCACCGGATTCGTACAAAAATATGTCAACTTCTAATCAAGGACTGTAATAAGTTCTGCCTTAAATATTAAAGGGGAAGTCTGCTGAATTTTTTTAATTTCAGGACCCGTAGATTCGGGGCGCTGAGTTGAATGTTCTTTTCCAAGGAGGCTGCGGTCCATGGTTCGTCAGATACGCCAAATCGAACATGAGCGAACGTGAGCACGCAGTCTACCTGATCCAGGTGATAAGGTCACAGTGTGCAGCCAGGTAGCCACACCATCTATTTGTGTGCAAAATGGCCAATATTCGAAACGCGTTCGATTTGAGAACCATCTGTTGCAGCTTCTCCGGACCAAGAGCATTCGACTCACTGTTACAAGCCCTACGTACCCTGTGATTTTCAGCTCGGCAAAATTTGAGGATATCCCGTTTAAGCCGTTTCCGATTTAGACTTTTTACATCCGCTGGCTTCTGCGTGCATGCCATAGTCAACAAACATACGGAACACTACACTACAGTACTGCCGGGCGCCGAAGAACGGGGTCAGGGTTCTAGCCTAGCCCGTTCTCATTTTTAGCGAACACAGCAGTTTCGTTCTTATTCGATGGTACAGTCTTACATGCACATTTATGCGTCTGAGTGTACATCATATTCATATTGTACATTACGTTTCTACCTAGACCGTTCTTAACCTGGCCGTTCATCGGCGGTCCGTTCTTCGGCGCCCGGCAGTACTGTAGTAGTAGTAGTAGTAGT